TTTGCCCGCAAAAAGAACGCAAACTCGCGACTATAATAATAAATTCCAAACTTTCAATTTTCAACTGCACTTTCCACACACGCACCTCTCTCGCAACTTTACTCTATTTTATACCGCCAACTTTCATTTCGCGAGTCATATACGTTTCGCGCGCGCGCGCGTTAACTTTCGAGTTTCAACTCGTCTGTATTTAAACAGTTGCGCGAGAGTAAGAATAAAAAATGAAAATTTAAAAAAATTATCTTAGAAACTGATCACCGAAGCAGCTTTTACATCTAATCATCACTCGGCGCGCGCTCGGGATGTCCTACTTATTTACACGCGCGTGTGTGTAAATAAAATTCGAAAAAAGAAAAACGAAAAGATTCTTCTCGTCAAACCGGAAAGTCTGACTAGGAAGTGAGTAATTGAACGACGCGATACGCGAGATGGAGAGCGGCAGCGGTTTGTTCTTCGCGAGCGAACGAAAGTAGAAGAAAGTGTTTGCAACTAAATATATATAGGACAGTTATAGTTTGTTCATTAGAGACAAGTAGAACGGCGCTTCTTTGTGCGTATAAATCTTGCGATGTTTTTTTTTTTTTGAACTGATAAATAGCCGATTCGCGCGTTTAAGCCCCGTAAGAAAATTTATTCTCGGCGATGCAACGTGTGCGGAGAAAGAATCTTCCGTTTATAGAATTCGTAGAAAAAAAAAAAAAAAAAAACAAACGAAAGTGAAAAAGCGCCGACGGACATGCTAGCAGGTACGTGGGAGGGTGCGTACACAGACAGGAAGCGAGTCCTTCCTTTCCTCGCGGACCAATATCCTGAATCACAATGAGCCTGCGCGCTTCCTCGAACCATTAGCTATTTAAATATAGGCGCCGACGGCAATTCCGCTTTGGTTGCCTACGTCGCGCCTACGACAATGTTTCTCCAACTATTATAATCGCAATAAAGCATCGAATCGACTATGCTGATTATTTCGATTAATGAAAATTAATTCCAAACATTCTTTTGCATTTTACTTCGTTCCTATTTTTTTTTTTACTTTGTTCCTATTTTTAAATTATCTTTACAAACTTGTATAATGGTTATCTCGCATAAGGGTTAATTATTATTTTCGAATTATTGAAAAACAATGGTAAATTTCTCGAAAAAATGATCTAACTAAAAAACTTCTCTTTTGAAAGAGAAAAAGGTCGATTAATGTTAATGAAAACGCCTTGTGCGTAAAATCTCCCGTTTCTTATAAAATAATTCAAAATAGAGCGCAATTTAACAAACGAAGATAACGAACGTCTCTCATCATCTATCATCAGAAACACTCTCGAGACCACATCTCAGGTTAACGACATCATCCGACGATCCTCGGGGCGTGTCCACGCTCATTTTCTTTTTTTTTTTTTTCTGGCTTGTCAGAGAAGAAAAAAAGAGAAAGAAAGAGAGAGAGAAGAGGCAGAGCAACCCCCGTGCAGCCTCTCTGATTAACCTTACAGTCGACAGACGCTGCTTTCCCCTAAGAGGTGATCGAAGCGTCTTTATTTCCTGATTAACCGAGCTGCTTGCGGCGGATACCGGAAGTAATCCGTCTTTCTCTTTGGATATTCTCGCGAGCAAGAAGGAGATAATGAAGAGAGAAAAAACGCGAGAAGAAAGGGGAGAGAAGGGGAACGAACAAACTCGGCTCGAGTTTACGGCTTCGAGTAATTAAAAGCTTGGCATTATCTTTTCTCTCTCTCTCTCTCTCTCTCTTTGTATGTATTTATACTTTTGCCGCTAGTTTTTCCTTCTCTTGTGAGTTTTATCGAAATTTTATTGCGTCACGTGACGATCGCGTAAATCGCGATTTACATTGTGTCTCTTCTCAGCGGGGATGACGACCTTGGATTCGCGTGTCAGTTCTCTCACGTAGAATCATCAACTAATACAAAGACGGATCCGGAAATCTCGCAAAATTGACATTTAACGAGCGTCGTCCATATTCATGACACGTTGTGCAGGCAATTAAAATGCAAAACAGATGTGACGGTAAACACAAATATTAAGTGCGTGTTTCGACGATCAAACCCGAAAAAAAAAATCTATTTCAAGACTCTATTTTTCGAAATCGATAAACTCTCTTCAAATTTCTCTCATTTCTGAAATTCCGATTTTCTAATTGTATTTCGCAACATCGTTTTATATCGAACAATAGACTGCCGTGTGTAAATAAATTATCAAACAATAGACTGCCGTATGTAAATAAATGATCGAACAATAGACTGCCTGTATGTAAAAAACATATCTTCTACATTTTCTACGAACGAACTTAGAGTCTTTCAAGAAAAAGAAAACGAAAAAGAAAAAAAAAACAATCAAAGAGCGATTCGCCTTACGCTCTTATTATAACAGACGACGAGAGACTTTCGTAATTTATACCGTTAATCCGTAATTTCACTTTATCGTATTACGTAGCAAATCTTATCGCTCGAGTACTTCGGGCGCGATAAATATCAATTTTTTCTGTTGTTCTCTTCTCTGTACACATATGTACGCCTTTCTTCTCACTGGCATACTTCTCAAACGGGCGCGATAACAATTTTATCTGATAATGCGTTACATTTCGGCGTTTTTACGACGAGAAAATCGAAACGACAATTGTGTTGATCCGAGTTTGCTCATCAGAACAGGAAGTGTTTTTTTTTTTCTTTTATTTATTTTTTCAGCGAAAACTGCTAAGACCGCTTCGAGGAACGGCGTGTTTGCGACGATTCCAGTTCTTCTCTTTGCAGAAAATTAATTGCTTTTCTCCGAACTAACGTGCGTGCACTTGTAGAAACATTCCGTATATAAAAAAAACGCATTATTAATTTATCAAGCGATTTAAAAAATATCTATATATAATCTCTGTCATTGCGTACGTTACTTGTCTACTTTTTTATTCGACGTTGTTACACGCGCAACGTTCAAGATCCACGAGACAACGTAAAAATATCGAATAGCGATATAATATGAAAAATTATACACAAATTAGTCGGAAGTTAGATAACGGATTGTGTTGCGCCAGATGTTATCGCGGGGGGCTCGCTGTGTGTGAGCACGAATTTATAATCCACATTATACAGGGAGAAGAGCGTGTGGAAAATGCTTTTTCTAAATCTTAACAAAAAAAAAAAGTCAACGCGAAGTGGCGTATCACCGGAAAGAAAATCATCTCGGATGTTCTTTGTGATCTTTTTTTTTATCGAATTTCTCCCTTTCTTTTTTTCTATTAACTCTTCAAAAGACAGATGGCGCGTAACAAGGGCAAGAAACTCGACTCGATAATGACTTTTCGTCTGCTTTCCAATTAAGGAAAGGGTTGAAAAGTCTCGAACGTGATTACGCTACCTTCTTAACCCCGCTAAGGATCTTTTCCTACGTAAATCTCTCTTCCGCTCTATAACAAAAAAAAAAAAACATCTCAACCAGCAAAAAGCCAACATCGAACTTTCTCATCGAGCAACGATTGCGTACGCGCGCGTGGAATTTGATTCAGAGAAATTCATTTTGCTTTGTGAAGATAAAAGAATTAATTTCCGTTAATCTTCGACGAGACGTTAAAACATAATGAGAGAAGCTTCTTTATTTTGAGAAAATTTAAAACACACGCGCGCGAGCAGCATCGCGATGAAAGAATTGGTCAGAGAGATCGAACGGTCGTGCGATACCGCGAGACCACACTTTAGTTGGGGTTGGGGCAGGTCACAAAATATTATCTGACACGAGACTGGAAAAAAAAAAAAAAAGAAAGGAAGAGGGAAAGAGAAATGCGGCTCGCGCTCAGTGATAACGATTACAAAAGCCGATTACATGAAACGGGTCGACAAATATCGCGATTCCATCGTCGTCGTCGTCGTCGTCGCCGCCTCGCGGAACGACCTTCGACGCAAAGCGGCTTGCGTAATATTTTTATCGGCCGAAATTACGCACCGGGCCCGATGTTATGTGCGTGCGCACATCTTCGATCATGTACGAAGCGCGTACAAGCACGCGCGCGCGCGCGCGCCCGCGACGACAAGCCCGGTCGACGAAGTACGAGCGGCATAATAATTCTTTTTGCATCAACTTGCCACCGGAAGTGTGTGTATATGTGTGAGAAAGTGAGAGAGAGAGAGAGAGAGATCGAAAGATAGACAGAATATTTTATTGCACTCTCAAAAAAAAACTTCTTTTCTCATCGCTTATCGAAAAGAATTATAGCTAGATTTTGTTTCTCTTCTCTCCCTCCCCCTCTCTCTCTCTCTCTCTCTCTCTCTCTCTCTCTCTCTCTCTGTCTTTCTCTGTCTTTCTCTCCATACATCCAATGAATATTTAAAAATACACCAAATTAAGTTGATGAATTATCTTATCATGGAAATGACTGTTCTGAGCTGCTCTTACGTGATAAAAATTGTGGTCTCGTTAAAGAGTTCTCGTAATAAGCAAGCAAAAAGTACAGTTGTGTGCACGCTTATTGTACGACAAAAAAAACTGATCGCGTTGAAAAAAAAAAAAAAAAACATCGCAACAAAGTTCTCTTTCTCTCTTTCAACGATTTCTTTAACTTGTTATTTCATTTCGAGTAAACATCGTATGGACAAATGTTTTTTTTTTGTTTTTTTGAGATAACGTCAGACACCTTTTTTTCACAACACGAAGAAAAGTGAGTAAATTTTTTGACGGAATTGTTGAGCTTCGAAAATTTGACCGAGTACCTTCGCTTCTCCTCCTCCTCCTCAACCGGGAGAGGAAATCGATGTGTATTTTTACGCTGCAGAAAAATAGAATCGAAATTTGTTTAGAGAGAATAGACGTTTTGCAAAGAAAATAAACCATTACAAAAACATTGCATTGTAGACAAACAAGTTTAAAAAACTTGTAGGAGAAACCGCGCGTGTCGAAAAGAACACAATTTAGCCGGAATAAGATAATAATAAAAAAAAAAAAGCGAAATATAATGTTAACACGCGGAACGGAATATTGTGGGAAGAACGGAAGTGTGGTGTGTGACTCACGATATCGTCGCATAAGATTCTTCTTGTAGGGCTTTGTGCCGGGCGGCCTGGATCGCGATCTCGTGCAGCCGCCGCCGCCGCCGCCGCCGTCCTTGTTGTCGGAGCACGAGTCGTCCGAGTCTTCGGACAGGCTCCGATCTTCCCGCTCCTGCGCGTATTCCGGAGCGAAGCATCGTAGAGCGGCGGCGGCCGCGTTGCCGTACTCGTCGACAGGCAGCAGCAGATCCTTGCGCTCCCGCTGATGATCCTGCTCGTCCTTGTCGTCCCGGGTTAGCTCCGCGTGATCGCCTACGCGTACGCTAAGATCCAACGGTTGATCTTCCAGCATGATTTTCTAAACTGTCTCTCTCTCTCTCTCTCACTCTCTCTCTGTCTCTCTTTCGGATGACGCGCGAACAGATAGATCCTTCCTCTTCTCCTCCACCTGCTCCCGCCTCCTCAAATCACAAAACTACCAGAACACTTGGCGCGACATTCCGCGCGACTTGTTGTTGTCCTCTTCTCACGATGACTTATCCCCGAAATCCCGCGCACTTCTCTCCACGGATTTACGACATTGCACTTTGCGGGGGCGGAAGGGGGGGGGGAGGTGATTCCCGCCGGCGCGGCGCGACACAACAAACGGACGAACGTCCTTCGACCGGAGCTTCGAACCGCTTTTGTGTCTTCGAGGTGCTTGTCCTCCTCTCTCGCTGTCTCTCGTAGAGCGATACAATGAGCAAATACACTTCCGGCTTCCTGGCTTCGATCGAAGACGCTCCGCGATGACAAATTGCAGTCGATGCGACGTAACGGAAGCGATTGGGAGAGAGAGAGGGATTGTGAACGAGGTAGATAAGACACGCGGATGTAAAAAAAAAAAAAATACAATATGTGCAATATCTCGCGCGCAAGACGGAAAAGAAAGGACGGATCCTCCGCGTGAGAGGAGAGCCGCGCGTATCAATCAGGCGGCCGCCTCTTTGCTGATTCCAAATCCCGCGGCCTTTCCGAGATACCGAACGTGTGTGTGTTTGAGCGCGTTCCCCGATGACTCAACCCGTTCACTATTCGAGCGCTCTCTCACACCTCTCAGCCAATAGGTAATATAAAGCAAAAGCTGGACGGGAAGAAAGAGAGTGAAATAGAGATGACAGCCGCGTAAAATGCTGTCGCGTTTCACAGTCACGCGCGCGAGAAGCGGAATAATATATATATGATGATGATGATGATGATGATGATGTATATCGTTCACTCGGCGCGCGATAAACTCGATTCGTCGAAATCCAAAAAATCACCGTTTGTTTTCTCACTAACGCGTCGCGACTATTTAAAACGCCGATACATCACATGCCGATATATCACACGTCCTCGTCGTCGTTGTTTGTCGGCAAAAATTTGCTGTGTTTTTTTTTTTTTCTCCAAAGAGGGAGGAGATCGCACACGATGAGGAAAAAAGCTCTCTCTTCTCGTTAAGTGGCAGAGACGCGATCGACCTGACGGAACGTTAAAAACCACGTTCTCCTGCACCGAGGCTACGGTCGCCGGTGGCACACTGACTGACTCGGGGTAGCCCGCTAGTCCAGACTCTCGTTCACTCACTACTCCAGACCTCTCACACTCCCCGACTCTGAGCGCCGGACTCGCTCCGCACGTCGTACAAGCGCGCTGTACAGCTTCGGAGCGCCCGACCGTGTTTGCTCGGCCGTCTCCGTCGTTGCCGCTTCGGCTGTGTTCGGTCGTCGAGCGACAGGCGCATCCGCGCGGCGGCTCCGCGAGAAAGAAGTATCCCAGTCGGCGATGCGGCACGGCGCCGGTCGCGTGCGACGAGTTGTTTGGTATGTTGGGAGCGCAGCACCAAGAGCGGCGGCTTTAGCGCGTTTCGCTCTTGCACATTTTGTTTCTTACTCTTCTCTTCTAATCTTCTTTTCTCCTTTACGTATACAATAATTGAACTTTGTGTGTATATAACAAAATTAGATAAAAATGTAAGAAAATTTTTGACAAAACAATAACACGATATGCGGACGCACCCAAAAAAAAAAAAAAAAAAAAAAACGCATCCCCAATGTGTGCTATCACACATATGCGTCGCGCGCGCACGACGCGAAATATGCGCGGATGCGTAGCCTACCGCAATGTCGGATCCCGTGACGCCCTCCCTATGGCACAACGGCGACGACAGGCGGCTCTCTCTCCCGGTCTCTA